GAATTCTCCTCACTGTAGTCTCTGGGATCACAATAAAATGTCAAAGAAGCTTGAGTAAATCTCATAGCCCTGTGAAGGTTTTAAGCTGAAAGAGTTCATCGTGGTTAGAAATGATTGGCAACAGGATTAAAAGGGGGCTGGATGTTGGAGTTTACTAAGAAAGGCACAATTTCATTTCCATGGACACTAGAGGCCCTAAGGAGAGGTATGTATATTTCTAGTCATCACGCACTCATATGGAAGAAGGCAGGATTCATCAACAAACAATGGTTGATCTTTGTCCTGTGCCTTGGAGGTTAGCTGGGTATAGTGTTTTCTATAGCAAACTAAAGTACATTAGCCAGTTGTAAAATCAATTTAGTAGGTCTTTATCAGTATTTTTAAAAGGAAGCTAACTAAACATGCGATTAAAGGCCTGGGTTCAGTTCCTAATTCTGCAAGAAAAATAAGAACAACCAACCAACATGCTAGATGAGAAGACATCCTCCTCTTTCCTCCCCAATCCCCACAAATGCAGCCTGTATGACTTCATGTGTAGAAAATTATAGGAAATAAAAACTAATTTATTCACAGATTTGTGGTTGTCTGGGGATAGCCAATATATGTATTTTAAAACAGGGTGTCACTGTGCTTCCCTGGCTGTCCTGGAACTCACTTTGTAGACCAGACCAGCTGTGAACTTACAGAAATCTACCTGCTTCTGCCTCTCAAGTGCTGGGATCAAAGGCATGTGCCATCACACCCAGCCAAATCTTCTTTTAAGAGGGAGCCATCAGTGAGGCTCAGGGAGATCTTCCTGCCTGGAAAGTTCTGATGATCTCCAAGGTTGGCAGTATCAGGAAAAGAAGCAGGTGGGGCAGCCTGTGACCATGAAGTGAATGCAGCTTCCTGCTGAGCAGGTTAGATTGAAATAAGGCAGTGGTGGATGATTGTATCTCGCACTGGGAGAACTGTGGTAAGAGCATCAAGAGTTGAGGACACACCCAGACACAGTGCTTGCCTTACCTGAGATCCTGATATGGACCTAGTGACTTCCTGGCAGGAAGTGACAAAACATATCACTTTTGACCTAGTATTCAAGCCACACCTTTTGTCCCATGTCTGATATACTGGGTGAAGAGAATCCAGTGATGGCTCAGATCAACCTTGGAATGCAGTGTAGGGGGGCTTCTGCATCCCATAGGTCTAGTAATCTTACATGGGTATCCTTTGGACAGTGCTGGGGGTACTTCTCTGGCTAAGGGGGAGCCACATTCAGAGAGAAACCATAATGTGAATATTATTATTATTATCAACAGATAGTGGCAGCTCCAGCCGCAAACATAGTAGGAAAAGTTTCCAAGTCCCACCTCACCTACCCTGCCCTGACTATTGATCTGTTCAGCCTGCCCAGCCCCTCCCAGTCATCCTTACTCAACTGACTGGTCAGTGTTGAGTATCTCATTTGGCATAGATCACTTGCTGTTTCAGGAACCCATCTTGAGCACTTTAGGCACATCGATGTGTACATCAATGTGTACCATGAACTCCACTTCCGTCTCCCTGATGCCATCTTTCCCTCAGTCTTAGGTTCTGTTTCTGCACAATTTAGCAGGTCTGACCGGAGTCCCTGTCGCCCCTGTAGGAAACAAGAGCCCAGAGGCCACTGCACTTAGCTTTTCACAAAGTAGGTCTAGCTGCATGGTGGAATGGCAGGCCTGTGTCTGTGACGCTGTGGGGTGTGGCTGAGGTTCCTGCTGCATTTCACCTACAAGTAGCTGATAATCAGGGCTTTATCCAGGTAGGAGTTTGGACAGGGCAGGGCATAGGCAGGGCTCAAGGTGGGACTAGGCAAGGTGGGTACTGCACAAGTGCCATACTGATGTAGCAGAGGTTGCTGATAGAGATCACAGGGAGCCAGTGACCAGTGGGGGATAGGGGGGTGAGGGTGGTGGGGGTGGGGGTGGCCATCTCCTCTTGTCCCCTGTTCTCTTTTGTCTCCATTAAAGGGGCTATGTGGCTTTTTCTCTCTCTCTTGGATATCCCAGAAACCCTCTGCCTAGACCCAGAACATACCACTGAGCTGTTCCCACCCCTTTTTATTTTGAGACAGGGCCTCACTAGGTTTCCCAGATTGGCTAGCACTTGTTCTGTAGCTCAGGCAGGTTTAAACCTGTGATCCTATTGTCTCAGCCCTCAGACTAGCTGCGATTACAGGCCTATGTCATCTGATTTGGCTTTGTTTTATTTTCTAGGGTGTTGGGTGTCCAACTCACGGCCTTGCACAAACTAGTCAAACTCTCCATCACTGAGCTATGTCCCCAGACCTACAACTTCTTTAAGGTTCAACAAACTTGTCATAAGATTCAGCAATTCTGTTCTGACTTAAAGCCAAAACTTGAAAGCAAGAGCTGGAGAGATGGCTTGGTAGTTAAAGTACTTGCTGCTTTTACAGAGGTCCTGAGTTCAGTTCTCAGTACCCACAGCAAGTGGTTCACAACTGCCTGTAATTCCAGCTCCAGGGTATCCAACACCCTCTTTTGGTCTCCAAGGGCACCCACACAGTCATGACATGTGCTCACACAAACACACACACATAAATAAAAATAAATCTTTAAAAAATTGATTGAAAGCATGTAGTCACATGAAGTAATGTATATAATTATCCATAAATCTTTATTAAAAGTAGCCATGGCAGGGGAGCTGGAGAAATGATTTAGTAGTTAAGAACACTTGTTGCTCTTGCAGAGGACCCGGGCTCAGTTCTCAGGACCCGCATAACAGCTTACAACCATCTGTAATTCCAGTTCCAGAGGATCCAATGCCCTCTTCTGGTCTCTATAGGCACCAGACACTCATATGGTATACATACATACATGCAGGAAAAACACTCATGCACATTAAAAAAAATCAACAAGGAGTGAGTGTAGATCATCTTTAAGGGAGTGACTCTAGATAGGCTGAGTAGACTCCAGTGGATGAACTTGCACCAAGGGACAACTGGGTACAAATGCTTGAACAGATAGGACTTAACAAAGATGACTGAATGCATAAAGTCCAGTGGGGGAGCAATGGGGAGTATGGATGAGGGAGCGGGCCTAAATTTGATTGAGATCTATTATATACAATGCATAAAAACTCAATAAACATATTTTGAAAACTCAACAAAAACAAAACACACACAGCCATGAGGCCAGCAAGATGTTTCAGTGGGTCCTTGCTGCTAAGCCTGATGGCTTGAGTTCGATCCCTGGGACCTATATGAAGAAAGAAAAGAACTGATTCCTGCAAATTGTCCTCTACCTTCCACATGTGCACTATGGAATGTGTTCACACACATACACACTTGTGTGCACACACAACAAACAAAAGCATTTATTTATTTATTTATTTATTGTCTTTTTGAGACAGGGTCTCCCTATAGTCCTAGATACCTAGAACTTGCTATGGAGACCAGGCTGGCCTCAATCTCACAGAGATCCACCTGCCTCCTCAGTGCTGGGACTAAAGGCATGTGCAAGCCTGGCACAAATGCAATTTGAAAAATGAAATGAAAGTAGCCAAACCATGGATGGGGCTAGGGAGATAACTCGGTAAGTAAACGCTTGCTTCACAAACATGAAGAACTGAGTTTGGATCCCTAGCAATCATGTAAAAGTCAGTACTGCAGCACCTGTCTATAATCCCAGCACTGGGGCACACAACTGGCAGATCGTGGGGGCTTGCTGGCCAGCCAGCCTAGCCAAAACTGTGAGATCCAATCTCAGCAAGAGGATCTTAAAAAATAAGATGGAGAATTGACTGAGGAAGACATCCTGATTTCAACCTCTGGTCTCAGTATGTGCCTGTATGGATGAATGCACACACAAACTCAGTTACTTACTTACTTACACACACACACACACACACACACACGCACACACACACCTGTGCTTGGAGGCCCATACTTGTAATCCTAGCACTCAAGAGGCTAAGGTAGGGAGAGCATGAGTTCAGAGCCAGCCTGAGCTATACAGAGACCTTGTTTCAAAAATTAAAAAAAAGCAACAAACAAAATAATCAGGTCACTCAGCTGTGACTGGGTAAGTGGATAAAATGTGGCTTCTTATGGATAGGTTCCCTTGGTACCTGCAGCTTTCCTTGGCATCTCCAACATCCTGGGGTTTCCATTGCAACTTTAGGTTCCACCCTCAGACCTTCATACATAGCCTGCTCTGGGGCTCGCTTTAAGAAACACGACATTGCTACATACTGTATGACCACACAGGCTTTTTCTAGAACCTTGGTGAAGCCCCTATGACTCTGTAACTCTTGCATTCTGCATGCCTGCAAAGCTAGAATCCCATGGATGATGCCAAGTTCTACTGCCATCTCTAGATGTAGCCAGACCTCCTTGAACCATGACTACAGTGGCCTCCAAGGACTTGTTCTGCTGAACCAGGGAAACATTCCCTTAGGTGACCCTTTATTAGCAAAGCATCCCCTGACTCTTTCTTTCAGGTACTCTCTTTTCACAGGAAAATCTTTCAGATGAATTTGCTATTTTAGACCCTGGACCTTTGATGGAATGGGTCTTATTCTTAAAACAGTTTTCTGATTGTCTCAGTACAAACTGAGGGACTCTTTAACGTCATTAATCTCCTTAACAACTAATTTTCTTTATTCATAACTTTAAATCTATTCATACATCTTTGTTTGCCAAGCTGTACATTTTTATATCTTTCTACCCCACGCTTTGCTCTGAATTCCTCCTGAGTGCTGGGATTAAAGGTGAGCACCACTGCACCCTGATACTACTTGTTTGTTTAATTGGTGTATTGAGGGCAGGTGACTGGGCCTGGCTTGTTAGGGGCTGCTGGAGCCCAGGCTCTAACCCTAACAACTCTGGTAACAGTGGTGGGAGTTTGTGGTGACAGGGGCTTGTGACAGTGAGTGTTTATATGGTGTAGATTAGGAAGCAGAGAGATCTAGACTAGAACCAGGTACATATAACTTTCAAAGGCTTCCCCTAGGGATCTATTCTGGCAGTGCAGCTAGGTCTCCTAAAGAATCCATAGCTTTTAAAGTAGCCCACTAGCTGCGAACCCAGTACTCAAAACATGGACTTGTGGGACACATTTTAGATTCAAACTGTAACAGTTACTGAAAGTCTAAGTGGCCTAACCCCCTTGGTGAAGTTTCTTGTGCCTCAGCAGGAATGAAACCCACACAGAGACATGTTTGCAGCAGTGGTTCAACAATGCATTCAGGCTATAGCGGAAGTATTAGGCACCAATCTGCCTTCCCTGAAGGAATGGGCTCTTCCTTCCAGCTAGCTCCTGAGCCCAGGCTTAACATTATCCTCATGCCCACAGTGGGCAAGGCAAGGACCTTCAAGTTTACCTGAAAAGTCATAGTACCTTGTGATTGGGCTCAATGTAGTAGCTGGAAAGAGACTTTGCTCTGGAAAAATCAGTGCCCCCAAAGGGTAAGCTGGTCAGAGTTAAGGGCCTGTAGGGCCTGTAGGATGCATTCTTTTAATTATAGAGCAGATGCTTTGAAGGAACAAAGAGGCAAATTGAGTACAGTTTGACACCTTTGTAAATGACATAAAACACAAAAGAGACATTGTAGTGGTGGATAAAATAAATATTTAAGGATGGGGCTGGAGAGATAGCTCAGTGGTTAGGAGCACTAGCTGCTCTATCAGTGGACATGAGGATGGTTCTTAGCACCTACATGGCGGCTAACAACCATTAGTTACTCCAGTTCCTGGGAAATGAATGCCCTCTACTGTCTTCCACAGGCATTGCATGCATGTGGTGCATTTACATACATGCAGGCAAAACATTCATACACATAAAATAAAAATAAAAAAATTAAAAAAATTTAAGGACAGCTATAAGGCAAGAGTGAAAATTAATCACCCGAGGGGTCAAAGAGTCACGAGATTTCAGGAGGAATTACAGAAGGCTGGAGGATACGTACATATACAAGGAAGCCCTCAGGGAGTCTGGGGACTAGAATTGTGCTAGACACATCTGGGCCTTTTGACCTCCCCATCCCATTTCCCAGGGTATACCCCAGAGCCAAACATCTTCACAGATGTAGTGTGAGCATGCAGGTGTAGGCCTCACAGTGTCTGCAGAACCCCTGAGAAGAGTATCAGAAGATGGGCCACTGAGAAACCCACAAGGACTTTCTTGTCAACCCTCTGCTTCCTGGCCCAGCTTGAGGTGTCTATGAACATGCCCAGTCTTACTTCTCACAAAAGTAGACAAATCATAATTTGGGAAAGAAATAGATGACATTTCACATACAGGGGAAATATATACAATTTTTTTCAATAGTTGACACCCTTAGTGACTGATGTCAGGGAGCTCTAGGAGCTATGTGTGACTCAGATTCATTTGCCGAAACCTAGTGATGATATTAAGAGCTGGGTCCTTTAGAAGGTCCAGAATGCCATTGTTTGCCCATTGTTTGCAAATCTTTGAGCCATAGAGAAAGCTTTTATACCCAACAAATGTACTGGCATCTTGACTCTGGACTTTTCAGTCTCCAAAACAGTGCACATACTTCTGTGCTTTATAAGTTATCCAGCTTATGATTTTTTATCTTGGTTTAGTGATGTGTGTCTGGATTGCTCAGGCTTGCCTGGAACTCCTGGGCTCATAGAATCCTCTCAGTCTGTCAAGTTGCTAGGGCCATAGATACCCACCATAGAGCTCAGCTTGCAGTTTATGGTCTTCGGGGAACAGCATCCCGAACTTGTGAAGAAAGTGGGACTTTGGGTAATCAGGTTTTCTTTTTTTAAAAATTATTTTATTGATTTATTTAATTTTATTTTATGTGTCTGAGTGTATTGTCTGCATGTGTGTAAGTGCACCTGTGTCATGCAATGCCTGCCGAGGTCAGAAAAGGGTGTCGGATTCCTCTGGAACTGGAGTTACAAATGGCTTAGCCACCAATTGAACATAGGTCCTCTGCAAGGGCAGCCAGTTCTCTTAACCACCAAGCCATCTCTCCAGCTCCATAATTAGGCTTTCTATTGGCCACTTATAAATGTGAGAAAACATGAGAGTTGCTGAGAGAAGGACATTGGATTTTGACACAGCCAGCTCCTGTGTGGTCAGCATTCCCGTGTTACTTTACTTGAAGAGAGTCTAGAGCTTGGAGAAGAGACAGAAAGAGGATGGGGAGATGAGGTGAGGAAGGAAGGTGTCCAGGTCTAGTGGGATGTGGAGGAAGATGGAGCACTTTGGGCTCCCATTTATTAAGTCTAACGAAGATGACCCAACCAGTTTAGTAAGGAATGTCATATAGTGGCTCTTCTTACATCTTGGTTGAATGGATGAGTGTAGAGATTAAGAATGGCTACACAAATATTGGAATAAATCTATGGTCTTCATGGGCATTTGGGAAACCCAAGCTGACCCCACCTGCATTCAAACCTATACAACTTCCTGATAGATGGGGCTACAACTCTGTGTGCTTGTCCTGAGCAAACTTTAGCTCCTGGATCTTCTGGGGCAGGGTCTTGGTCCAGAACTTCAGCCTGTGGGCCTTCAAGGCACGACCCACAGCAGGCTGGATGTCCAGTTGTAGGTAATACTTGTCCTTGTCAAACACTGGCCAATGGGGCAGGCCCTCACTGTTGGGGTTCCTGTGGATATGTCCTCCCAGTAGGGAGGGGTGAGGGTCACTCTGAGCCAAGACTGGACTCCCTAATTTGAATCAAGGCAGTGGACCAAGAAATCCAGGGAGTTTTGGGGGGAGGAGAGGTGAAGGGCTAGAAACACAGAGAGCTCCCATTAGTGTCTGCTCTATGTGAAGCATGGCTACCTGGCCTGTTTTGTCCCTCTGTAGAGGCAGGCTATAAAGAACATAGTTCTGTGGTCTACCCCTCCAGGTCACTGAAAGTTGATCAGTAACTGGGAACCCAGTGTGGAGTAGGTCCTGGCATTGGAGAAGCAGGATGCATGCATGCTTATGAGACCATCATAGACAAGGGGAATCCTGGATGGGACCCACCCCTAGGAGGTTGAGGGAGGGGCATCCTCTCACCCATGCCGTGCAAAGTTGGCCCAGTACTTCATCATTTTCCTGCTCAGCAGCAACTCCTCCTCAGTGAGGTCAACTGTAGATGGGAGGAGGGCAAGGGTGCATGCACATTCATCACATGCTGCTGCCCATTCGTGCTCCACTTCACTACCCCAGCTGTCGCCTAGCTCTGGGCTTCAAGTATGGTTTCCTCTCTCTACCACCCAGGATGCAGGACCCACTCAAGCCCTTAGTCCTGCTCCAGCATGTTCTCCTTCCTTCTGACATGGGTAAAGTCATTTAAAGAACTATCATGACTTTAAATTGACCCCCTATGTTCCTAGGATTGACACCAAATTCAGGGTGGGAGCAAGTGAAAGGAGCACAGGCCAGACTAGGAAGGGTTCAGAGTCTAACTATGCTGTAGCCCTTTGAGCTGTAAGATTGTGCACACGTGATCATGTACTTTCACAGAGCCTCAGTTTCTTCAACGGACCGTGAGTTCAGTCGTCCCTCAGATACCCATCTGAGGCCCCATTCAGCTCCTGGAAAAGAAGGAAGACTCACTTTTGTGGCCCCTGAGGGCAGATCCAAAGACAAACAAAATCTCGTCACCATGGTCAGCCTTCACGTGGGGTGGCTTGACATCCTTGAGGAAGTTGGGCCGATGCTGGAACTCGTAGAAGTAGACAGGGGCATGAGAACCTGGGGGAAAGGACACATGATGACAAAGTTGTCTTTCACCTGGAGCTGTCCTGCCTCATCCTTGTTGATAAGCTACCTCTATATAAAGCTATGTGGAATCTCAGGAGTTGAGTGGGGAGCTCCAGACTGGAACACTGGCTGTGTGAAAGGCCTTGGTTAAATCATTACCCTAGACTTCAGACTGAGTAGTTTGGGTAAGTCACTGCGTATCATTAACTTGTTTCCTATCTGTACCTGGATGCTAGTCTCTTACATCAGACAAGGATTTACTGAGATGCCTGGTACCTGAATCATGATACAGACATGGGTGGAGATCTGGATATCACACTTTGCTAATCTGCTAGGCATCAGGCCTCTCTACAGATATACTCACATTGAAAATGTGCTACTTGTAGGGAAGGAATCACAAACATGAAGTCCCCCATCATCTCATGAAACTGTACTTGGAGAGTCTGGGGCTCCTCAGTGTCTCCCATGTATTCTTCCATCAGCAAATCACAACACTCAGAAGGCAACATCTAGCCCAGGGAGATCATGAGGAGTTAGGTTAGAGGCTCTAGGGCAGGGAGGGAGCAACCTTATATAGTAAGATGGGGCCTGGAATGAATTAGGATAAAGGGGGACAGGTGCAAGCTTTGGAATGACTCTACCCAGGAGCATGCAGACATCAGTTTTTTTCCTGGGGATTATTATCTGTACAGGATATATGGGGACCCTCTCTACTGGGACGGGACTCAAGGTATTTCACCATCTGTGCTGTTTTGCTCTTCACAATATCCTGCAGAGTCTCTCTGGTTATTTCCTTTTTTGTGTGAGCAGAGTCAATGATCTGGGAGACAGAGAACAGTCTTCAGTGTGGGGTGGGATGGACCTGGACAAATGAATCTTTGAGCTCCCATTACCCACCATATGAGTCCCCAGGTTCCCAGACACTTGGAACTACGTCTCACCACGGGAAGGAGCCAACCATATTCATCATTGTTGACACCAATGATGCTGGGGACAGGGTGAAATTCCACAGAGGCCAACAGCTCCAGAGGGTGTCTAGGTAGGAACTCCCCATCCACAATGCCAGGGATGACCTTGAAAACCTGATTGGCATTGAAAGGTCAGTCATGAGGATCAAGCACATACATATTCTGATGCCCACTGAGTTACTGCCACCATTTCTTAATTTGTCTCAAGATGTTTATCCCACCATGTCCCCCAAGAAATCCTACACCTAGATTAACCTAGCTTGGTATTCATATTTGCATATTGGAAGAAAAGGACACCAACTCATGGAGATGAAACCATTAGTTCAAGGTAGAAGGGACTAGTTTTCCCATTCTCTGCTGTCCCCCACTTCTACCAACCTTGTTAATAGCCAGAATTTCCTCTTCATTCTTGCCTCTCAGGCAGTGCACTAGATCCTCCGAGTCCACAGCCTCACATCTAGATAAGTTGGCCACTATCTGTAAAGTGATCAGGCAGAAGCTGAATAATCCTTCTATGAAGGGATTATAGAGTTTTTCATAACCGCAATAGATGCTATTGGCCCCAAACATTGATATCACATCATACTGTGTATGGATTGTGAAAAGTATGAAATTATTCTCACTTTCCTGTGGCTTAGATGTGACAACCAGATGAACCATTCCACCTGCATACCAATTTGTGCCAATGACTAGGACCCCTGAGTGCAGCTTTGCTGGTCACATAATGTGCTCAGCCTATACGAAGCAGAGGAATGTGGGGTCTGACCTTTGAGGTTCTCAGAGTTTTCTAGCAAGGAGACAGTTCCCATGCTCCTTTTTGTCTTCATAGAACAGAGAGTACCAGAGTATCAGAGGGTAACAGCTGAGGCAGCAGGGTTAGGGGTTGGGTGGTTGACAGTACTTACTCTGTAGACCATGTCAGAAGAGCTAGCGATGAAGCCAGGTAGCAGGGCCACCCCACTCTCCATGATGGCACCATGGAAGAGTCCTTGGGATAATGGGGACACCACATGTGAAGACACACTTATGCCACCTGCTGACTCTCCAAAAATGGTGACCCGGTCAGGGTTGCCTCCAAAGTGGGCAATATTCTGCTGGACCCAGCGTAGGGCAGCTACTTGGTCCAGGTAGCCCCAGTTGCCTCTGGCATGCTGGTCTCCAGTGCTGTGAAGTCCACAGGTACAGGGATCACAAGAATGTACTGGCTTTGCTCAGCTTCTTTTGCCCAAACAAGCCTCAGGCTCACCTGAAGAAGCCTAGGACACCAAGGCGGTACTGAATAGTGACCACCACAACATCCTCAGTGGCTGCCAGTCTGGATCCATCATACATAGAAGCCATGCCCACAACCAGTGCACCACCATGGATCCATACCATCACCTGGGGAAATAAAGCTAGGAGGTTCTCATCCAGCTCAAGGCTCACCTGGGCTATCTCCTAGACTATTGACTACTTTGCCCTGGTGTAGATAGACACATAGGTAGAACTCCTCTGAGCCACAGACAGGGCTCTAGTCCCTTGGAGAACAGGCTAAAGCTTCCCATTGAGACCAGGGCAGTGTCCTTGACAGGCATTTGATGTATATGAGGCCAGGGCAGTGTCCTTGACAGGCACTTGGTATATATGAGGCCAGGGCAGCATCCTTCAGAGGAACCTGTGGGCAATTTGCCAACATCTTTCCATTATCAGAGGCTCATTGCTTTCACCAGTGACATGCAGTCTACACAGTGATGCCATTTCAGGTGGCGTCTCTGTCCATGTAGCTCACTGAGGCCGTCGGTCACTGATGTCTGACCCTGCTATAACAACACACAAAGCCTATAGATATGGGTCTAAGAGCCTGACTACATCCAGGCTTCATCTTCCAAGAGAAGCTTTCCATGAAATCACATGTAACATAGGGAAGCATACTTTCAGGCAGGAGATAGAAAAGCCAAAACCAGAGAGGGAGTAGTTTGTGACCAACATATGAAAACTAGAGGTATGTGCATACATTAAAAAAAGAAACAGAGTTAGTCACCCTTAGCTCCTCTTTCTACCCCATGATGCCCTATTAACATAGGACCCTTCCACAAAGGTAAGTCACAGGCTCTGGGGAAACTGATATGGAGTCCAAATTTTTAGGAAGGATTCCAGATGGGCCTTGGACCTCATTCTTTCTGAGACTGGGATATTGAAAACTATTGGCAGCATGCAGTGACATTCAGTACTTCTCTCTGTACTCTTTGAGGCCTGGGTATTGGAGTCCTTTGTCCACAAAGGTGCTGCAGTGGTAAATGGATGATACTTTCCCATAGGGTAGTAAGATATCCTTCATCTGGTGTCCAGACTCTCAATGAAACTCTCTCTACTACAGAGGCTCCAGTTGGAGGCACATATACTTGTTTCTTGGTCAATGATACCCAGTCTTATAGCTTGGCAAGGTGACTGTGGAAGGTGATTTTTCTAAGGCACCATTACTGCTGCCCTTCCCTGGGACCAGCAGTATATCCCCACCACAGAGGGACTGCAGCTGAGGGGTTGAGATGAAGAACTCACTGCAGCCCAGTCCAGATCTCAGAGTTCCTGTCTATCCCAAAGCCTGTAGTCCCCACAGTCCCAGGAGAACTTACATGGCTGGGTAGGAGGTTCCATCCCTCACACCACTCCATGGTTCAGGGGGCTCAGGGGATGCAAACCGCAGAGGTCCTAGAGGTGGCTTGGCAAAGGGAATTCCCAGGAAGGTGTGGACACCCACTTTGGTGCCATTCACGTGGATAAGGCTGCCCTTCACCTGCCCTGTGTGGGTGGTCCTGATGAGGCTAGCTGAGCCTTCACCTGTGAATGGACATAGACATCAAGGTTGGGTCTGCCCTTCGGCAGCCCTGCCTCTCTCCGTGTCTAAAGGCGTAGGAAGTATCCAGTCAAGCCCTCCTTCCCCTGCGGGATTTGTCAACTACACCAGCTCCTACCTCCCTGTAACCTTCCCTCCTACAGAATCGCATTTTGATGTAACAGAATTTGGCAAATCTTGCCTGTTTCCATAAGAAAAATGAAAATCTCCAAATCAGCCTGGAGGATCTGTTACTTCCCTTCCTTTTCTGGTTTGCTTGGATCATTATCTTTGGTGTATATGAGGCCAGGGCAGAATCTTTCACAGGCACCTGGTGTATATGAGACCAGGGCAGTGTCCTTGACAGGCACTTGGTATATATGAGGCCAGGGCAGCATCCTTCAGAGGAACCTGTGGGCAATTTGCCAACATCTTTCCACTATCAGAGGCTCATTGCTGTCACCAGTGACATGCAGTCTACACAATGATGCCATTTCAGGTGGTGTCTCTGTCCATGTAGCTCACTGAGGCCGTCAGTCACTGATGTCTGACCCTGCTATAACAACACACAAAGCCTATAGATATGGGTCTACCTGGTACTTCTGACTTCCAGGTTTGTTGTTCCTCAGAGCCTCTCACACTGATAGCTTCAGGCCTGTGTGTGCTACAGGGGTCACTCTGTGGGATTTGGAATGGACATTGGGTGGTATACTTCCCCATACCATCATATCATCTCCATTAGCTTCCCCTTCCCTGGTCTTTTTTTGTCCCACAGTCTCAGTCTCTGATTTTATTATAAAATTTGGCTACTCTGATTCTGTCCCCGTCACCCCATTAGGAAATCTCACCATGGACATGGAGGAGAAGCAGGAGCCCACAGGTCACAACATTCAGCCAGCTAGGAAGTTGGTTCAGTGACATGATCTGCTCCCACGCCTGAATCTATGCTGTGGTAGGATGTACTGTGTTTCTTCAACAGGAAGCAGAGCATGCAGGTCTTTCCAGACATGGCATAGGCGGGGAACTAGTGGGGCAGGGCTAAGTTGTTATTGAAGGATAAGTTCATTGGCTAGGCGGAGTTGACAGGAGTCAACTCTTGGCAGGCAGGGAAAACCTGCTGTTTCTGTTTCTCTTCCTCTTTGGCCTCCTAGGAAGGCACAGCATGGCTTCTGAAACTGTTCTAGATACCAGAACCCTCACTCCAAACCTGGAGTCACCATGTTTATTGTCCTTGTAGTCCCAGGCCCAGTATGTGTGTTGGAGAGGAGAGCAGGGAGCAGAAAGCTGTAACTGGAAAGCTGGGATGGTTTCTCTAAGGAGGGGAATGCTGAGGATCCCATAGATGGAGAATGGGATGGCCATTTGAGCAATTTCATCTGGGTAAAGGAACTGTATGAGCAATACAGGGAGCTGTAGGAAACCAGGATGCCAGGCCCTAGAGTTAGATAAGTCTAAAACTTTTAAGTCCCAGCTGCATTCTCTGCTAAAGCAAGGGGTGCTGAAAACAGTACTTGTGATAATCCCTGTCTTGTAGAACACTGCGAGACTAGCAGGAGAATAGTGGCCTGGTCATAAGTGCAGGCTCCTTGCTCTGTGGGAGTGTCTTGGTCAACAACCCTCAGCTCATCTCCCTGTCCTGAACAAATAACTCAGCTATGATTAGCTAAGAGATTAAGGATTAAGGATTAAGGATTTACTCCTGAGCTAAAAGCTAAAAGTTTATCATGCTTTTAACTCTAAGAAAGAAAACATTGTGGTCGGTTGTGGTGGTGCACACCCTTAATCCTAGCACTCAGGAGGCAGAGGCAGGCGGATCTCTGTGAGTTCAAGGCTAGCCTGGTCTACATAGTGAGTTTCAGGCCAGCAAAAGAAAAGAAAATACTGTGGCTAATAAATTACTGGACTGGCAGCATTGGTAGCCTTGAGTAAAAGTTTAAGCATCCTTGTGGTGCCAACTAACAGACTATATGTCCTGTTTCTTTGTACCCTAAATCTTTGTATGTGACTGCCATATCCCATGTGACTGCCAGTTACTTGCAATATATAAAAACCATCTGAATATTATAATAAACTGCTTGTTGTAAAGACACAAATCCCGGGGTCCAAGACTGTCACCAGTTGGTATCGCCATCCATCACGAGAGTGAGGTTCCCTGCTGAGTAAGGGACACTTGGGTCACCCGATAGGGAGCTCTGAGTGTACCCTTCTTCCCGAAAACGTCCTGCTCTCATGAGTCATAGACTACTGACACCACATGCAGGGCCCCTCCCCCCTTACAGTTGTGCTCTTAAGTCTACACCCTCTGTTGTGCTATGGCTGTTTTATTGAAACACATTGCAACTGTGGAAATTTATTTAGTCACTATATAACAATGTTTTATTATGACATTTTCACACATTTGTACAATGTATTTTGATCGTATTCATTTCCAATTACTTTCTCTTTCCCTCTTCCCACTCTAACTGATCCCCTTTCCTTCCAACTAGTCCATTTTCTACTTTTTTAAAATTTAAAATTTTGCTTGGTGTGGTGGTGCACGCCTTTAATCCCAGCACTCGGGAGGCAGAGGCAGGCAAATCTTTGTGAGTTTGAGGCCAGCCTGGTCTACATAGTGAGTTCCAGGACAGCTGGGACTACAAGGAGACCCTGTCTCAAAAAGACAAAATTTTTTTTAATTTTAATTTTTTCATTATATGTGTATGAGTGTTTTGCCTGCATGTATGTATGTATGTGTACCATGTTTGTGTTGTTGTCTACAGAGGCAAGATGTGTTTGATCCCCTGAAACTGGAGTTACAGACAGTTGTTAGCCATCATGTAGGTGCTGGGAACCAAACCCAGGCCCTCTGCAAGAGCAGCCATTATGTTTAATCACTGAGTCATCTCTCCAGCCCCTCCATCTTCTATTTTCATGCTTTCTCGGTCTCTTTCTCTCTCTTTCTTTCTGTGACTTAATGGGCTTAATTGGGTTTCCTTATAAGAGTGTGAATGAGGGGTTATTTACAGGAGTATGGGCAATTTACCAGTGTCCACATCACATAAGAAAATGTCTCTTCCTTTCTCATCAACCATTGCCTGAGTATAGATGCTCAGGGAAGGTTGGGACCTGATGTACTTGCTCCCCCGCAACCCTTAATTGCCTATAAATACTTGTCTTTATTTTATTTTTTAATTTAATGTTGTTTATTGAGCTTTTGTAATTTCATACAATAGTTCTTGATCAAATTTAGAACCCCTCCCCCATCCATGCCTCCCCAATCCCTCCATCAGACCTCATGTATTCTGCCATACATGTTAAGTCCTATGGCAAGGAACACAGTGTCAGACAGAAATCTTTATTTTTTTGAAACAGGGTCTTGCTATGTAGAGCAGGCTAGCCTGAAGTTAGAACCCTTATCCGGAGGGTTGAGTTACAGGTGCGTGTGATCACACCCAGCTCACACCTCTTTTTTTTTTTGTTGTTGTTTTTGAGATACAGTCTCCCTGTAGCCCCAGCTGGCCTGTAATTCATAATGTAGACCAGGTTTGCCTTGATCTCACAGAGATCTGCCTGCCTCTGCCTCCCAAGTGCTGGGACTAAAGGCATGCACCACCACACATGGCCTAATTTTGAATTTTAATTAGTCTTTTCTGAAATTTAATCAAGGCTCTCCTGTATGTCTTGAGATAAAGAGTGGTAGTAAATTACAGAGGTTCTTGAGCCTGCAAGTCCAGCCCCAGTGCTTAGTGTTATCCCTAGGGCCACAATAAGAGGATAAGAGTCAGGGTTCTTTTTATGTGTGTGGCCAGGAAAGAGGACAGGAAAACTTTAGTTGTCAGGAGCCATGTTTACATCTGGAAATAAATATCTTAGGGTACAAGTCCCAGTCTAGTTGGTAGGGAGACAGAGATAGGCTGATATGATATAGAGGAAGATGTCTTGTTTGGGTAGGCAGGTGGCAAGGTGGGTGGAGGGAGGAGAGATGGATTTTATTTTCAGAGGGGGGGAGAGAGAGAGGAGAGAGAGAAAAGAGAGAGAAGAGAGAGGGAGAGAGAGAAAGAGAGAAGTATGACAGCAGGGTTAGGATTAGAAACATTTTGGAAGCATAGGAAATGCTTATGTCTAGATAGAAAGAGGAGGTGGTAGAGAGAGGAAGGATCTTTTTTTGCAGGTTTGTGTAGAGTCTGCATTTGCCAGAAGTCATGGGGGAAAAGCCAATGAGGAAGATTGGGCATCCCCAGCAGCACTGGGTCCTGGTAGGATCCAGGCGTTTGGATAGAGAAGCAGATATAGAACTTGAGAAATAGAGTGGCTCGGAGAGACTTTCCCATTTGTAGCAGGTGAGTCAGAGTAGTCAACCTGAGGAGAGAGGTAATCAGAGCAATCTTGATAGTGATTGTGAGATTACTAGAAAAGGTCTAACTAGCCTACTAGATCCTTCCATAGAAAGGCTGTCTAGTAAAGCAAAGAGGGGCTTGACCCATTAAAGGAGTATATGTGGTAAGGGTCTAATAATAGGGATCTTATCATCCATGAACTTGGAGATCTTAAAGATGTTTTGGATATATGTGTCATACAGTTTAGAATCCTGTCTGTCAGAGATGCAATGTCTGTCCAAGCAGAGAAGAGAACTGGTCTCTTTTGTTTTGGGGTTGAGAGTCATGCCTATGACTCTGTCCAAGTTAGCAGATATGCTGAGCAGAAAGGGGAAGGCTCACCAGCAATTGTTCGTCACTTTGGCATTAGAGCCATTGAGTAATTGATAAGTAAGATTTAGAGGGTGCTCCAGTGATTAGAAATAAGAACCTTTAAAAAATATTTAATTCATTACTTTTATTTTATGTGTATGCATGTATTGCCTGCATGTGTGTAAGTGCACCTGTGTCATGCAATGCCCAAGGAGGACAGAAGAAGGTGTGGATCCCCTGGAACTGGAGTTATAGTCAATTGTTAGATACCATGTGGGTGCTGGAAACTGAACCTGGGTCTACTGCAAGAGCAGCCAGTGCTCTTAACTTCTGAGCCATCTCTCTAGCCCCAGAAATAAGAATTAAAAAAATATATTTTATTTATTATTTTTATTTTATGTGTATGAGTGTATTGCCTGCATGTGTATAAATGCACCCATATAGTAAAATGCCTGTGGAGGTCAGAAGAGGATGTTGGATCCTCTGGAAATGGAGTTGTGGATGGTTGTTAGCTACCATATGAGTGCTGGAATTTGAACCTGGGTCCTCTGCAAGAGCAGCCATTGCTCTTAACCACTGAGCCATCTCTCCAACCCCTAGAAATAAGAACCTTTTTAAATAGGAACTGGACAGGCAAAGTTAAATTTTAAAAAAGAAGATCAAGGAAAGACCCACATTATTAAGTCATAAAAGATTGTGGTTACAAGGATAAAAGTATAAAATTCAATTTTGCCTGGAGTAAATTCTATAAGATTTCCTTGGAGTCAACATTCAGTTATAAATTTGGGCTGGAGAGATGATCCTAGTATTTTTTTTTTTTTCTTTTTCCTCAAATGAATAAGAAAGAGGGCTAACTGACAAAGCACCAAAGAGAGGAGAGAGAGGCGTGTGCCTGGGAGTTTAGCCTGCTTGGCTAATGAGTTTAATTCTTGATGCATTTTGCTGTGGAGAATAGCTACCCTTTAAAAGGTAAAGAGGCTGTTAGACTTTGGGATGAGAAGGACGTGATAAAGAAGTAGGAACTGACCTCAACAGACGCAGATAGCTTTATTAGCTATGAGAGGCAAGCAACCTTTCTGAGGGAATGGAGGTTGTGTGTCAAGGTTTGGGGGAAGATCTAAGATTTATTGGTGACCCTAGAAAAATCTCAGAAAGGGGATCATGCCAGAATCCCAGAAGGTGGGGTATGCCGTTTTGGGTTGTGTCATATTCCTTCCTGGGATCTGGGAAGGGAGTTCTGATAAGGAACCAGATCTACAAGGAGGCTAATAAGGAACAAAATATCTTTTGCTAGGGACCATGTGTTCTGAAATAAATGTATCTTC